AGGCGAATCGGGCAAAGGGTGGTGGGCAGGTGCTTTGCTGGAGGCCCTGCCCTGCCCTACCTTTCGCCCAAACCTCACAGAAGCGAGAGAGAGGGGGAGAGGGAGGGAGAGGGAGGGGAGAGGGAGGGAGAGGAGGGGAGAGGGAGGGAGAGGGAGGGAGGGAGAGGGAGAGGGAGGAAGAGGGAGGGAGGGAGAGGGAGAGGGAGGAAGAGGGAGGGAGGGAGAGGGACGGAGGGAGGGAGGAGGGATTCTGAACTCTTTTATGAACTCTTTCGCCTTGGTTTTATAATTTTTTTGTTGACTTTTCCGCCTGGGTTTTATGAATTTTGTCGCCTTGGTTTTATGAAGTGAATTTTTTCGCCTTGGTTTTATGAGCTTTTTATGAACTTTTTCGCCTTGGCTTTATGAACTTTTTGTGAACTTTTTCGCCTTGGTTTTATGAACTTCTTATGAGCTTTTTCGCCTGGATTTTGTGAACTTTTTTTTTGAACTTTTCTGCCTTGGTTTTATGAACTTCTTATGAACTGCTTCGCCTTGGTTTTATGAACTTTTTATGAACTTTTCGCCTTGGCTTTATGAATCTTTGTGAACTTGTCGCATTGGTTTTATGAACTTTTTGTGAACTTTTTCGCACTGGTTTTAACAATTTTTCGCCTTTGTTTTATGAGCTGTTTATGAGCTTTTTATGAACTTTTTTGGGTGGCGGCGGGTGGGTTCGGTGGCTGGGTTGGGTGGGTGGGGTGGGTGGGGGATGGGTGGGTGCGTGAGCCGTGCCCAGGGTCAAGCCTGGAAGCGCCCTACATGGGTGAAGCTGGGAGAGGTTGGTAGTGGTGGCAAGGTGGATGTTTATCATGCTGCTGAGTTTTGGTTTAAGCCCGGTCTCGAGTACGACGCAGGGGGACCCCAGCAGGATGGAGGCCAGGGTTGCGGCACTGGAGCAGGGGGTTGAGTGGCTGACCGGCAAGGTCCACTGGACAGAAGACCGAGTGGATCGCTTGTACGCACAGGGCCGCGTGTTCACCATGCACAGCCAGACCTTGGAGGACGCGTGGCAGGCTCTCGGAGACCGAGCCTCCCCCACTTTGATGGTGGAAACAGGGGCTGGAGAAGTGTGGTTGGAGGAAGTAGCTAAGGCTCTGGGGGTGGCGTGGCCTTTACCGTCGAGTCAACCGGGCCGCGAAGAGATGATCTATGGACTCAAAGCTCGGGATGTACACGACGGGCTGTGGGCGCTGCATGATGAGTTGCGGTGCCTAGTCAGGGTGGAGCCGGAGTGGGGGGCGGACGCAGCCAGGAAGGCGAAGACATTTACCCCCGTCTATCGCATCGGTGCCACGGCCGATCGAGTGTGCCTGAATAAAGCCCTCACGGAGGCTAACATGGCCGGGCAGGTACTCTGCTGGCGGGCCAAGACCAGGGGTGAGAAGCGCAGGCGTGCTGCCATGAAGCAGGAGGCTGGGGCCGCAGGGAGTGCAGATGGGCAAGGACAGGCCAAGGGGAGAGGAAAGGGGAAAGGGCAAGAACAAGGGCAAGGACTTGGGAAAGGGGAGAGGCAAGGCGGGAGGCCGAAGGGGTGGCAAGTGAGGGCTGCGGTCCATTGAGGGGTGAGGTTGCAGGCACCACGGGCACCACGATTGGAGGTCTTTCTTGGGGTCCCCCGGTAGTTCCCCACACGTCCCCTCCGCCAGTTTTGGGGGTTTTCGCAGGACAGTCTGCTGCGTTGAGTGCCTATTCTTTTCGTCGGTGGGATCGATAGTGGAGTTGTTGCTGGTGTCTTCGCGCCGCACAGGACAGTCCGTCGAATATGAGTGCCTATCCTGGTTTTAGCTTTGGTAGGGGCGAATGGGGCGACTTGGTAGTCAGGTCCCTTGGTTTTCGAGCCCGTAAATAGCCGTTTGTGTCTGTGTCTGTGGTCTGTTGCATCAGGTTTGTGAGGTGTTTTCGCAGGACCGTCCGTCGAATTGAGTGCCTATCCCTGTTTTAGCGGTGGTAGGGGCAGATGGGGCAAATCAGTCGTCAGGTTGCTTGGATTTCGTGCCGCAACGGGTAGTCTATCGTTCTGCATGTCTGTTGTCTGTCGGGTAGGGTGAGGGAGGTGTTGTCGTGCCGCACAGGACAGTCCGTCGACTTGTGTGCCTATGCCTTTCGTAGTGCTCAAGGCCGTGTGTTCACGATGCACAGCCAAAGCTTGGACGAAGCTTGGCAGGTGCTTGGAGACCGGGCCACCCCAACTCGGATAGGGGAGACAGGTGCTTGATCAGGGTGGAGCTGGAGCGGGGCGTTGACTCGACACGGAAGCCGAAGACGTTCACTTTGGTTTACCGCCTAACGAGCCGTTTGTCGATCAGCGTGTCTGGGTCTGTGGTCTGTTGCATCAGGTTTGGGAGGTGTTTTTCGCAGGACAGTCCGTCGAATTGAGTGCCTATCCCTGTTTTAGCGCTGGTAGGGGCGGATGGGGCAAATCAGTCGTCAGGTTCCTTGGGTTTTGGGCCGCAATGGGTAGTCTATCGTTCTGCACGTCTGTTGTCGGTTGGGTAGGGTGAGGGACCGCGCTGCGCAGTGGCAGCTTCTAGGCTCCTTGACTGCGGCAGCTGCAGAAGATGCAGGGTAAGGCTCCCTGTCTGTGACAGCTGCAGAAGTTGCAGAGGCTCAGTTGCCTTAATTGTCACAGCCGATGAAGTTGCAGAGGCTCAGGCCCCAAGAATGCGACAGCAGTTAGAGTTGCATACTCGACAGGGCAGAAACTACTAAAGCACAGGTGGTCGGATAGCACGAAAGCGCAAAAAATACCGTGCAAAGCGCAGCTGCTGCCAAAAAGGTTTTAACTCTCCTAAAACCTGAAGCGCAACATCCTATAAACAGCAAAAACAAAGATGCCAACTGTATGTGAGAGGAGCTCACCAACACCCCTAAAGCCCAGACCTCGGCATAGGAGGGCTTTGTTTTGAAATAGTGTGTGGTTTGTGCGCGCACTAGGTGTGGAGATATTGTTCGGGTTATCATCCGCCGGAACGTTTTCCCCCACCCGATTTCGAGTTCTCGCCGAAAACCCTCCGAAATCCCAGGGTCGAGTTCGCAAAGTCCAGAAGTAGGCTTGGTGACTATATGAGAGGGTCCGACATCACGAAAGTACTGTAAATACCGAATAAAACGGATCTTGTGGAGATATTGTTCGGGGTGTATGTGTAACAAAGTCGTCATCATCCCCCCGCCCCCCCCCACCCCCAGTCCGAAGCCCACTTTTTCTCAAAATCCGGGAGTGGGTTTTGAGGCAAGAAGACGTGGTACGACACCACGAACGTACCGTAAATACGGAGTAAAACGGATGTGCTCTTAAGAGGGTTTGTAGCAGAGGTAGTTGGCAGAGGGGGGGGGGCTCCTCCTCCTCTTCCTCTTGCTCCTCCTCCTCCTCCTCCTACTACTACTACTACCACCACCACCACGACGACGACTACTATTACTACTACTACTACTACTACTACTACTACTGCATTACTAGTACTACCACCACTACTTGACCAGATGATCGCGTGCACACCCCGCTGAGGCCAGAAGACCGCTTTGGCTGTCGCCGCCGGCGCGGCGGCCACGTTGGCCACAACGGCCACCAGGGCTTCAGAAAAATGCGGTGATTTTGGGGCACCTTTTTGGGAGTCTGTGAATCTTTGGCCGGGACCGATGCCTGAGACCTGCGCTGCAGATCTCGCTTTGCGGTTTTGGGCGCAGAATTGTTGAATCCGAGGTTTCAAGCTTTAAAGGGACACCGTGGTAAGATCTTGAAGCGCCCCAAAGAGCAATTAGCCATAGTTTCAGTCGAGGAAAGGCACGCCTTTTCATGCAAAGCCGAGGCCTTCGTCCAAAGCGGCCCAGCTGCACAGGCTGGCGGCCCCGCAGCCTTGGTTCAGTCCCAGGTTCAAGAGGAACGCTGATTTCTCCCACTCCCCGAAACTAGCGAAGGCGGCCCCGGAGAGAAGTAGCCGAGCGCAGCTGCGCGGCCGGGCGGCTGCACAGACCAGCGCGACAGGCGCGACACCAGGGCAGTCAGGGCAGTTAGCGATCGACGGACGCGCTATCTCGGAGAGTCCTCGAGGTAGCAGCGCCCCGAGCCTCGTTGGCTGCACGGCGGCTACGGCATCAGCCGCTCGAGTCGAAAGAAACCTTGGGGGTCAGAAGGCACAAAATTCCCAAAGGATGCGCCCAAATTCTGGTAACACCCGGGCCAAGGAAAGTTTCGCGCTCAAGGGGTATCCAGCTTGTTAACATCGGTGTTGATGTTTGGGATGCAGTGTTTAGGGACATAGCCGTGCATCCTACAGGTTCACAAAATTGCGGTCATGCCAGGTCTTGTAATACTCATGAGTGCACATGCAGACTGAGTGTAAGTGTGAGCCTGTGTGTGTGTGTGTGCGCGCGTGCACGTGTGCATGTGTGTTCGTATTCATTGTACTCTTACGAATGCCAGAGCACAAATGCAGCAATTTTTCCCTTGCTGCGCTGACTTGGTGGTTTGCTCGCACATTTTTTCTGCCTCCGATGTCCGCAGCAAATGTGTGCATACAATCCTGTCTACTGCCTGTTCGTGCAAGCCCTAGAAACCATGAAATCGTGGTCTTCTCGGAATATTTTTGGACCCTGGGGGCGCGGAATCGCAAGCAACCCTAAGGTTGCCTGGAGGGGGGAAGCCCGTACTGGTGGTTCACATTCATCAAGACACATATCACAGCGTATAATGTAAGCAGCACTCGTTCCAGAACATGATGCAAAAAGAAACGAAGGAGAAATAGAGAGAATAATGGGATATCGTGAGGTCAACACTTTCCGTTCATTAAATACATACACACGCACACACACACACATATATATATATATATAGATATAAATGCACACACATAAGTATATACACATATAAGCAAAGACATGTACTTTTGTGTATGTCCAATGGAAAAAGGCTCCCTGGAAATCTTAGTGTATGTTTCCTGTTTGACACTGTTAGACATCGATTCGTTTTGATGCCTATACGGCTCACAATACGCCGCGGGTGTTACACAGCGAACAGTTGAACCACAACAAAACTTAGAACTCGCAAACCAATGCCGCACCATCTACCAAAGGATTCCCACCACACACCACATCCAATGGAAATGGGTAAAGGGTCACTCCAACCAAGCGGGAAACGAAAAAGCCGACCGACTTGCCGACCCCGAAGCCAAGGACGGATCGTGAGTAGCCCCGCACCAAAGCACACTGACCGCTTTGAACACGGAAAAATTCGGGAAATGCGCGCGTATATTCCGAAGATGAACAGCCATGCCGCAAATATATTGGATAATATGCAAGAAGAGACGACCGCAAGGCACGATCAGCTCACGAGTCAAATACACCGGTGACGCGGACAAACAGAAGGTCTGCACTGGCAAAAAACAGTTCTCCAATATGACCAAGCGCATCACGAAGCCTCCTGTCTTCAACGGTAAAACCCGGCGACAAATTCCAGTGACGATTGGAACTGCACATCCGGCTGGCAACAGGCAGGGGGCATCAGAGCGAAACGACTCGTCTAGAGTCTAGAATTCAATTTAAACGCACACACGCAAACACTTACAGATACCCACACGCGCACACACACACACACATTCCAAAACAGGCAAACACGATCAACCCTATGTCAGCGACCATTGCCTGTGGGGATAAAGGCTCAGGCTTTTGTTGTGTTTTGCTATTTCGTTTTTTCAATACAGCTTTTTGGTGCTTGTCTTGTGCTTCTTGAGATTTCAATGCATAGTCCCATTTACCCCTAACTTCAGTTTCCGTAACTTTCACCCTTCGGTTTCAAAGCAGGTTGAATTGCCATAGCAGAGATTTTATTCCTTTTCCCTTCATGGTGTTTCCAGAATATGTATGTGTATATATATAT